CCCCCCCCCCCCCGCGCCGTCGTGCCCCAACGGGCCGCCGCCCCGCGTTTTTGCGCCGATCCCCGGGCGAGGGGACGCCCTCCCTTATAGAAACGCCATTTTTACCCCCGCATTCAGCCTTCATTTCCGCTCTATTATTTTGGCACGAGCCGCGCCGGTGATGACGGCTATCTTGGCGGGGCAGTGAAGCGCGCGCGCATCCTTCATAGATCCTTCCCTTCGGCTTCACTTTAGGCGCCACACCTCCTCCCCTGCCCGAGCGGTCGGCCGGCCTCCGCCCGCCTCAGTTCACTAGGTGAATGCGGGCGGCGCGCGCTGAAAAATATCGAGGCGCTCTAGCCCGCTCTTCCGGCGCTGTCACGGGAAGCTGATAAAAAGGCAGCGCCCCACCCTTCCTCGCAGCCTGCGCGGCCGCCCGGACCGAACCCTTTTCACTATACATCGGCGCGGATGGGGGAAGGGGAGGGGAGGGGAGGGCGAGGCGGCAATGTGGACGAAGGGGTTGGAGACCCCCAGGGGATCGCTGGACGCTCTGCATTGAAGCCGATATCTTGCATAAATAGCTGGAGCACACACGCGGTCATAAGAAACGGCCGCGCTTTGCTACCATTGACCGTCTTTTGTTGGTTTCCTGCCGTATCTTTTCCATAGTGTTATCGCAGTCGGCTTTGCCGTTTTCAGCGCGTAACAGAAGCAAAATCCATAGCTGATAATGAAAGTTGTATTGCAGTCCCAATATCATTTAAGTGATAATATATGTGTGATAATAACAGCATTCACCGACGATCAGACTACTTCTCTCTCCCCTTTGTAGTTCTAGAGAGAGAACTAATGAGAAGTGTAATAAGTAATCGTGATCGCATGTGGCAGAATGGAAAAGTTTAAAAACCAATAACTTGATTCGAATTGATTGTCATTCACTTTGATAACCAATATATTTGTCCTTTATTTATCAAAAAACGTGGAAATTGAAATAAATGCAGATAAAATTCTATTTATCAACTTTTTATTATCAAAATGTTATCTCTTAAAACCTTATGAGCTGTGATAATAAATGTATTACCAATACAACAATCAAATATTCGCCTCTCTTTATCAGCAACATCTCGTAGAATAGAAAGTTGAATAGACTTATTTGAAAAAATTCACTTTTAGAATCGTGTTTTTCCAGTACACAAGTCGATGATTTCATTTCAAATTTACATCCATATTCAGACGAGATATAAAAGAAATACGAGCCGCATGGTAACTTTTAGTGGAGGAATACAATGACATTATCGCAATATCACGGTACACTGAATTTATGCGAGCGATTACCGCGCCAAAAAAACGGCCCCTCTCGGCCCGCTGCGGGAAGAGAGGGCGCTGCAGGGGCATTTGTCGTCATCGCGGCGACGGGGTAGTTCGCAGGCAGCTTCGGACAGAAAGATGCCGCCCGTGCGGTGGAAACGCCCCATAACTCTGCCGCGCCGCTGGCGCATCGGCGACTTTGCCCCTCGGCCGACGGACGGAGAAGCAGCTTTCTACATTCGAAGCGACTGGTCAACATCATCAGAAGATCCACGTTGCAGAAGCAAAAGAAGATAAATCGTTGTATAAGGACGTCTCAAAACAAATTTGATAAACTTCTGGAGATTGTAGAATGGGGACGAGACATCAATGCTGATGTTTTCAAATTATCTATGTTTACATAAAAACATCGATGATTTGTTCTCACTATTTTTACGTGTTCGAGGTTCTGTTTGTGGATGAAAACTTCTCATAAACACAATTTTGAAAACGTTAAAATATCAAATAAAAACTAATGGTACCATTGCCTATGAGTGTGAACCAAATGAAGGTGGTTGTACTGATAAGATAAATCGTCATATAAAGGGGTCTCAAAAGAAATTTGATAAACTTCTGGAAATTGTAGAATGGGGAGGAGACATCAATGCTGATGTTTTCAAATTATCTATGTTTACATAAGAACATCGATGATTTGTTCTCACTGTTTTTATGTGTTCGAGGTTTTGTTTGTGGATGAAAACTTCTCATAAACACAATTTTGAATATCAAATAAAAACTAATGGTACCATTGCCAATGAGTGTGAACCAAATGAAGGTGGTTGTTCTGCTTTCTTCGAGATGTCCCTCGTTCGAGTTGATCCTGATGTCTTGGTGTTACTTTCGCCCTTCGTCGTGTTTCGCATATAGATATTAACTAACGCGTTATATATTCATTTTTTTCAATACAATTTTCATTAAAATTTAATATACACGACCGCCATCAAATTAAATGTAGTTGCGTGCGTATTTAATGTTAGATGTTAGGCTTTAACACATCGATGTTTGAAAACCGTGATGGATTTTGGTCAATATGTTATTAACATCGATGATTTAATTTTGAACGTTGGCAATATTGCTGATCTGTTATCGATGTGGCATCACGTTTGTGGGCGAGACGAAAATGAACACTTTCGGCCAATGAACATCGCGTGGGAAATTTCTTATAATGTAGTTATATGATTATATAATAAAATGAAATTTGTCCATTATTGTTAGGTATCCCTGTATGAACGGATGTTCGAAAAGTACATGCAATTTCCCCCGTGGTGGCAGAATGTGACCTCCCATCTTGGCTTAAGAAGTTACCTAAAAATCAGAAAATATAGCGTGTGTAAGTCATTTATATTAAATTTTACACTACATGATCATTGGCAAATTTGATAATTTTTCACACCTCTACATACCCTAGACGTTTGCAACATTTCTCTGAAAACTTTTTCCTCTTTAGATTAGTAATAAAAACGGAATGGATCGGACTCCCTGCAAACATCTTTCGACACTTTCTCCCAAGTGTTCCGTAATTCAGTAACCAAATGGATATTTATTGCCATTCGTTATTTTCCATAATTTATGTTGATTCGTACAATCATCTACCCATAGTAATATATTAGTATTATGAAGTGAAGTACACTGTAGAGTAGTGAATAACGAAAGTAATAATAAAAAGTTAACAGACACTTCATAGTTTTAACAGACGCACCCTTCTTTCTTAGTGCAAAGATGAGAGGAAATCAACAACACGTATTGCGTTTTAGGGAGAGCCAGCAAAATAGCTGCTTTCTTTGTATGGATAGCTTGATTCGGAAAGAGAGACAATTAAAAGAAACGCATACGATCCATAATAAACTGTAATTAAGCTTCACAACACCCTCAACATCCACTGTGGTACAGTGAAACGCACAGGATTGCACTTCGTAAAGTTCATGCGTCGCAAGCGGAACAAGGTACGGGCGAAGAAATGTGGAAATGAGTAGTAAACTGACATCCAAAATCTTACAAGAAGTAGCCAAGAAACCCGAAGCAACAAAGTGCCAGTCGTGAGACTGAAGAATAGACGAAATCTATTTATTACGATAGTAAAAATATCACACATAAATATTTTCAAGTTGTAACTTCTCATTAATAACTTATATGTTATTCAAATAGATCAATTATGAATATAATTTAGTTTATAACGGTATATTGGGTGCATCTTTAGGTTTCTTGTTCAAAGCTGATGCCGGAGCTTCAACTGATATGTTTATCCTTCCATAATTAGAGTTGCTTGTAGACGGTTACAAGTTCACAGGCACAATTGCCTTTCTCCAGTGCCCACCCATCTATTTGTGAAGCACTCTCGGTAGTTCACGATAGAATACCATTAATTCATCGTACAGCCATCTACCAAACGGCATCGTAAAGCGTATCCAATCACACGGAGATACGATGAGTTACTTATACTGCTTCAGTTGTCTCACAGTCACAGGCATTAACTGAATCTCTTTAATGACTGTGACGGGGAGGTGCAAGGGTTTGGTTTCCAACAGTGACGGATTTTAGGCACCATTTGCATTGTACGTTCATTGTAACACAGATAAAGACCTATTACAATATTCATTAATCATTACGATAATCCAATAGAAATTTTTAGAATGGTAGGTTAAAATCGGCCGCTGTTTGTAGTGAAGCTCTAGCGGCTAGCTGCTCTGATCGGTAGTTTTCCGTGGTTTCTCCGCTCGATACCAGGTTCATGCGAGAGCTATTCTCTAACAAACGGAACACGAACTGCACCCAATCCATCTTCCGTTCTCCTTTCCAGTCCTCTGACACACAACCACGCAGTTTCATGAACTAGGTCATACATTGAAGACCAATCGCGAGCTTGGAGCTTGCCCAGGCTGTGGCGAAGGCAGTGATACTTGGAGGAGTGTAGCAAGCCTTACTCAAGCCTTGTAGGTCGGCGCAGGATGTCATTTTCTATGAGGTTGCACCACCCCATCTCCAGCAAGGCGAATCAACATGCACTACATTTACGGCTCTCGTTACCATAGTGCTTACCGCGCCCAGAAACAAATCATTTATTAATCAATTGTATTATATTTGGAAATTGCTACTAATATTGACTCGCCTGCAAGGGAAGTTTTGTGGTTTTCATTTACTTCAGCGTAATAATTTAAATACTCTTAAAAAATCCTGTTCGTGTATCCAAGATACCAGACGAGGAGTTTTGCTGATCGAGGGACTAACTCTTCAATTTTAGAGATTTTGGTCAAATTCTAACGACTCTTGTTTGTATACACACGTCGCCTTTAATGCGCTAAATACATCCCTTGAATTTCGAAATCGACGTGCAGGTGCTCTTCTCGCCGTTAACCGTTTGTTCTCGCTGTCCTCACGACCCGTTGCCTGCCATGTGAACCCCCTCCACCGTCCGCGGATTTGGCCACGATGCTCCCACATCTATTCACAGACACTCAATGCATCCAAAACACGTCCCCACTGCAGTTCTCCACTACCTTCCCCAGCCCCTCTTACAACAGCGCGTCCCCTCGCATGCTGTCTACGCCACTTCCCCTCTCGTCCTTCTGTCAGCAGGCGCTATCGTCATTCGTTTCCTGGCCTCGCTGCCCTCCCTTGCGCTCTTCCTGCCTTCCACCCCTCCCCCCGACTTCGCGATTTGGCGCACACTGGCCCGAAGCAGGCGTAAAATGGAAATTATGTCTCTGAAACCAACACCGTAACGCGCGGGAGTATAGGGACGCCGTACGACTCGAGAGCACTCGCCACTGGAAGGTCGCGGGCTCGCTCGTGGAAAGGTGCTAGTAATTTACTTGATGTGCTTAACATCAAGTTGCTGCGCTAACATGAGTGTGACTACCTTAATAGAATTCTTACACCGCTTGCTCCGATCAGTTGTTTCCGTGGCTTTCTTCAAGGCGTGGCAGCACTTTAGAGAAATGTCACGGACAGTGCACGACCCTTCCCCCTCTAGTCCATTCCCATTTCCATCTTTAGGGAAGACCGATGAGCCACCCACTCTCGAACGGTCCATGTCGTTAATAAACTAAGTGGTACAACAACAGAACATACATTCTCGTATTATCCGTAATTGCTTTGCAATATTACACTACTATCTGAACTTCCAAAGTACCTACCAGCAAATCAACTAACAACCAAACAAACAATGAGTACGCCGGACATGAGACCAGCATCAATTTTTTACTGTGCTTTGAAACATACGAAGAGAAAATGTAAAGAAAAAAATTGAGAAAAAACTGTTTAAAAAATTAAATCTCTCTATATTTTAAGCAAAATTACTCCTATGTTCGAAGAATTTTACATGAGTGTTTGAAGACGTCTCTAAAGAACAGCTTTTGTGCAGGAAAATAATCTTAATTTTCAGTATTTTAGTTGTAAGAGACGGTGAAAAACTAGCACTTTTACTATTTTCGAAAAATCAGGAATTTCAACGGAAATGATAACTGCACAATTCTCTTAAGCTATCAAAAAGTTTGGAGCCAATTTTGAGAAGAGTTTGAAAATATTTTTGAGGCTACAGTACCCTCAAAAATCAAAATATCTGTTTAAAACTTCAAATGGTCGTGAAATATCAAAATAAAGTTACACCTGCATACATAGTTCAAAATTATAAGTAGTTTAATGGTGTACTTTCCTTCATAAATTAGACAGACAATGAGTGTTCAGATATTATGGAACAGAATTCAAAAATCGTAAAGAGTAGACCCAAAATACATTTAAAAGCAACAATGAAACGTTTTTTGTTGTATATGGTGGTAGATGAGTGTCATATTAACTTCTTAAAATAGGGACGAGGGAAAGGGTTTATGCTGTATGTCGTGGCGTGACCTGGATACTTGATCACAGCGAGCGTACCACACGAATGTTAGTAGAGAGACGGTGAGGGTTGGCTGATGATTGATGAAAGGTAACGAGTGAGATGATATTGACATAGGATAAGCGAGATATGCACATGAAACTCTAACAACAACCACATTGATGAAAATCCCCTGCCTCATATTGACCCCACATCTTTCGCTTCCGCGTTCTCGAATGAGCTTTGAATGTAAATACTCCAACTCCTATTTAAATATTGTGGTACTTCCAGGTCACGAGCTGGAAGGAGAGAGGGAATTTTCATTCAATCGGGAATTTTAATACCAAACATTGAAGCTGTAACAAATCTCCCAATTGGATGACAGTGTCCCCCTCTCCGTCCAGCTTGTGACCTTGAAGTGCCACAATGTTTAAATAGAAGTATAGTGATACACATCTTTCAAACTGAGAAAAACCATAAATATTATATCCAGGTGCACTGAAAAGGTTCTTAATGAATGGAACATGTTTTATTTCCGTCCGTCCGCTCCTCCTTCCCGGTAAGATCCCTTCCGTTCAACCGTTCAGGGCTTTGGGAAACGAGGTATTCCTCTGGCGCGTCTCAATCTGCAAGTGGGGAACTAGCAATTTTTGTGAAACCTTCTACTGTAACAAAAAAAACTCAAATTATTAACTACGAAAATCTTCTAAAATTGTTAAAGTCTTTAAGATACAAAACTTTTATCGTTTAATCTATGTATTTAAAACACTAAAAGGTTTTCGTTTAGAAATAATTTTGAGCTTTCTTCGCAACCAAATTGGATGTATTTTCTTTAAATAACAGGTAGTGGGCCCTATTTGTGTTATTACTTCCTCTTACTAACTGGTTTTGTAGTTTAAACACTGGACGATATTAATATATTAAAGTTAATAGAATTAACGCATATCTGCCATTATCCGTTCATTACGTCATTTTCAATGCAAACTACAATTCAATTAAAGAATATCCTTGCGTCATGAGGTTATAGTTGGCGAAGCGACAATAGTGAGTTTCGTAAGTTCGAAGACTGACTTTTCTTGAAGGGAAAAAATAGTCAGGGTATATAAATTAACGCATTCTTCAGCAACTGTGCAACATATGTGCCTTTATAAAAATCATTTCAATGATTAAAATTATAACTGATTCTCGAATTTTCTAAGTCATGGTTGTAAGTAGGTTAATAGTTCACTACAAAATACATCTACCAAGGTTAACATACAGGTACATACGCCGTAGGTAAATTAACATTTCAAATATATTTTCAAAAACAGGTTTTACTCAATGTCCACCAAATGTAGTGAGAGTACTGTTCTAGTATTTATACCTCCCTCATTTCGTCAGTTTGCGGGAATAATGACCGCGTGAAACAATATTTTTGGATATTCCGTATAGTGCAGGTGTTGCACATTTCAGTTCTAACTGATCAATAGTTATTAATTTTGGCTTATACGCTTTTCAATTCGTCGTTTCGAGCAGCTTGCCGGGCCGGGCGGGCGGCGTTGGGGCCCACTGGCCCGTGGGGCCCGCCGGCGCGTGCGACAGCGCCCCAGTTCCGGGGCGCGCGCGAGGGCAGCCGGGTGACGGGGCAGGGGGGAGGGGAGGCGAGGCGCCGTCCGTGATTTGAATTTTGAAACTGTTTGTTAACATGACCAACGCGGGGGAAGCGAACAGAATGACAGATAGCGGTGCTCTTGCCTTACGCAAACTCGTCGCTATACGTGGGGCGCGCGTGTAGGGCAGGCGGCGCGGGGGCGACCTCCGCTGTCTCTCGAGAGGCGGAGACGTCGCGCGCCCTCTTCGGGGAGGGGCGGGGGCGGAGGCGGGCTCGGGGCGGAAGACGCAATAGAAATCTGCCCGCGCAGAAAGGAACGGGAGGGCGCTGTTTGCGCTTCAGAGGCCGCAATACAAATACACCGCCGCCTAATTTGCATCTCTCTGCACTTTGGGCTTGTCACAAAGATTGCTGGGCAGATTTTGCAGCACTGGTGAAAGTGATCGATAAGGTATTTTAAAACTGTACTTCTTTATGAATAAAGTGAACGGTATTTTAATATACAGACTGTCTCTTAATAAATGTTACAAACGTCTAAGGCACGTAGAGAGGTTGAAGATTATTATCAATTTTGACAATGAGCATGAAATGTAAGATCTCCAATAACGAAGCTACACATAAACAGTTTTGACACGTTCGACAGCTACACAAAATTTATATGATTGCTTCTGCACTTGAACCTATAAATACGAGTTAAGAATGAATTTCCAATCAATCAGGGTCAGAATGTTCAAAATTGTCGAAGTGTAACTTCATTATATAGGATTTCTCACAATGTGAAAAAGTGACACATGCCTACACGACCCTTAGACGTACTACATGCCTACACGACCCTTAGATGTTTGTAATACTTATTCTAAAATACCTGCAGATGACATATCCACCAAGACTGAATTACTGTTTTTTGATACAATTTTTTTTTTTATATAAATTGCATTAAATTCAAGTCTAAATGACGCGGAAACCACTCGATTATTTAAAACAAACTGTACATAACCTTTTTCTTGTATTGCATGATATCGAACTGATTTGTTGGGACAGTGTTTGTCTAAGGCAAGAATCTCCATCTTCAATGTAGTTTTGAAATGTTAATTTTTGAAATCGTAAAAAAAAGGAGAATTCTCAAAATTGGAACTAGTACCTTTTTTTACTTATTACATACAAGATCATCGCACTTTTGCAATTTTCGAAAAGTCAGGGCTTTCAACGAACATAAGACCTGACCATTCTCTTAAGCGGTCTTTTCGCTATTCGAGGACAAATTGTAATCAAAATTTTGAAGCTATTTTTGAATAAATGTTAAAATGTTTTTTAGGGTTCATGTAAAGTACCCACAAAAATAAAAAAATCCATTTGAAACTCCCAAAGTATCGAGTTCATTCAGGTCGATCAATTTAGAAGAAAATTGGCTGATCATTTTAAGCCCTAGCGTTGACAACACAGACAGACGAACAAATAAACGCAGGTGTTAAGCTGTCAATCAATTTTTAGGTATCCAGGACTCACAAAACATGGATTCTGGCTACATCACGTATTAGAAAAAGTAATTAATACTATACACAGGAACAGGATTCCACTTTTTAGTTAACAGGGGCCGGCAATAATATTCTACCGAAATTCGTCGTTTTCCAGCGCACGATTACATAACTTTCTTTTCTTACGAAGTTCCTTCGTAATCGTAAGAAAGTGAAAAAATAAATGTACGTTGTATACATTTTGGATCACATAGATTTCGTATTTTATGATGAGCTATTTGTAACGTAAGAAAATCAAGTAGGAGGAATAGGAATAAAGTAACAAGATTTATTTTAAGTGCTGGGTTGTCATGCTCTTTTAAGGCAATATATAATGTAAAATTTATTAATACTCCTAATAAAACGAATTCGCTTCCCCACCTCTCTCCAAACTTCTTTCACCACCACCACTCTATCTGTTTTATTTCCTTCTCCTCGTAACTCTGTTTATTTCTCCTTTCTCGTCCCCCTCCGACCTCGGCTGTGCGAGGGAAACAACGTGCGTTATAAAATGCCAGCGAGCAGAGCAACAGCCCACGCGGCG